AACCTTGCCTCCAAGTTCAGCATCCTGTCAACTCATTTAAGAAGCAATTTAAGGTCCAGGATAACACGTACCATTAAAATTTCCTGTAATTCTTCTTTCTTTGTCTCTCAACAAAAATATTGTGCTTAATTGTTTCTCTAACTCAAATGTTTTTGCTGACCCCTTGACATTTGACTTGAATTGAAGGTCCTTGTGAAAAAAAATCCGCAAAAAGGTTATACCAATTATGATGGTTTACTGCAGTCAGTGTGTGACTTTTGAAAAGTGAGCTTGATGTGTCAGAACTGTTGGGTTGTTCTGCATTTTATGGTAATTGACAAAAATACATTACCAATACAGTAAAGAGGCTTTTAATAGATAATTATTTGGCCTTTCCCTGGCAGATTTTTTTGTCGCAACATTCAACCCAATCCGCCAGAAAAAATATCTCAAGTTTTCTCGAGTCACAAAAACTTTTGGACGATCCCTCGCACGCAACTACTTGCCCCTGGGAGGATTCAACTTGTTGATTACCGCCGAATGCACCGTCACCTCCGTTATGTGCTGTTTCGAATCCATCCAACCATCGCACACGTGAAATTAAAATGAAAAAAATAAATGAATGGATGCATAAATAAATGAAAATGCTGTATGTTTGCTCTCTTTCCAGTCAGGCTCTACTTGCGTACGCATAATTCTATAAGCAGAGCGCTCCCTAAACGTATTGCTTGAGCTTAAAAACTACTTACCTCTAAGCGCCTTCTTCGTTTCAAGTTTCTTATTATGCAAGGGATCAAAATTTAGAAATTCTCGCGTTTTTCAATTTCGTTAATATACTGTACTTCTGTTGCGGTTGTAAAGGCCGAATAAAATAGCGCAGATTTCATTTCATGATTGATTTTGGACTTTGGATGACGTTTTTTATTTTTTATCGGGAATCAAAACTACAGGAAGTCTTTCGCAAAATATTGTTTCAAAATCGAATCATTGATTTATTGGTTGTGAGCAATCGGCACATATGTTTTCAATTGAAATTGATCCAGATTATTCACGAAGAGCTCGGAACTTTTAAGCTTACGAGTTCGAAAAAAAGTAAAACATGACATTAATAAAAAATATTAATTAGTGCATGTCAAACAAAAAGTCCAATGACATAGTTAGAAAACCGTTCAGCCTTTTTATGGTGTCGTTAATGGCAAACAATTAAATTATAGGAATTACTGGACTTTTGCTGGAAATACTGTGCGCAAAAATTTAAAACGCGAGCAGAAATCAGAAATTGCTTAAAATCGATTTGGCTGATCGCTGATTTAGATCAAATTTAATGATAATTGAATTCCCAATCAAATTAGTTACGCATAAGAAAAAAAAGTCAACGGAAATGCTGACAGGACTTGAAAAAGGTTCTAAATTTTTTATTGTTCAATTCACGATGATTTATGGGAATGATCAAATTTTCTCTAGATCCATGGAATTTTACAACGATCTCTTTCGCCCGGAAACATCACTCATAACCCGCTCCCAGAATTTTGAAAAAAAAAAGCCATAAATTTCACCACCGAAATTTCACGAGGATTTATTGCTAAATTTTCTCGACAGCTGTTTTAGAAAATTCGAATGCTCAAGCTTTTTTTCATTTTGTACTGTAATTATTTTTTATAATTAATCACGTACAGTTTGTTTTTCAGGTTACTGTATCAATCTTTTGGCAAGTCGGAAAAATACCACAGCAATGGCAATCATTTAAATTATAGGAATTACTGGACTTTTGCTCGAAATACTGTGCGCAAAAATTTAAAACGCGAGCAGAAATCAGAAATTGCTTAAAATCGATTTGGCTGATCGCTGATTTAGATCAAATTTAGTGTTAATTGAATTCCCAATCAAATTAGTTACGCACAAGAAAAAAAGTCAACGGAAATGCTGACAGGACTCAAAAAAGATTCAAAAATTTTTTATTGTTCAATTCACGATGATTTATGGGAATGATCAAATTTTCTCTATATCCATGGAATTTTGGTTGCTAGAGAAAGCGGGCCTTTGTAGTGAGTATTGGGCGAGGGTCTTAAAACTTTTTTTTTTCGGTATTTAAAGTGGTGGCTTTAAAGTGCTCCTAAATAACGATTTAAAAGAGCTGTCGACAAAATGCCGAACGAATTTCTCCAGAGGTGCCGGAAATGAGTCCTTTAAATCTTCCGGATAATCTTTTGATCCCGCTTCTTTATCTGGTCGAAAGAATAAATAAATAATGGTGGGGGCGGGGGGAATTGCCAAAAAGGGTCAATTGTGCAATCCGATTGAAAAGAGCATAAAACGAGTTCTTTTCAGCTCCTCAATAAATGTGACGACAACGAAGCAAAGGCGTCACGAGGATTTTTGAATGCATGCACGGAAATCGTGATTCACAAATTGAATCCATTGTGTCAACGAGGCGCTGTGTTTATTTTTTTTTAAAGTTACGTTTTATTTTTGAGTCTTCATTTGTGATTTGTTTCCTTTTAATCTATAACGAGGTGCTTTTGTTCGAAGTGTAACGAAACGCGTTGCTCATCGAGAAGTGCATCAAATCGCATTTGCTGTTCTGCTGATTTTCGCTGTTGCAATTTTGCCGAGTACAATTTTTTTTCGTGTTAAGAATTGTAGTATTAATTCTGAAACAACTTTTGTGATCATCTGGATTATTTTTCGACAAAGAAAATATTATAATTGTCCGATAAAATAAAGCAATGGAATAAACATGCCAAAATATTTCTTCGGAGTTTTCGCGTGGTTCCAAGTGGATTGAAATTAATCTCTGGAAAAATCGTGCTAGTATTTTACATTCTCGTTTTAAAATATTTAAAAATGGCTGTTTTGTAATCTATTTCAGAAAGGCTTTGGTTTATAAATGATGCAACGTCAGAAGATTTCAGAGCCTACGAATTTTTCATTCTTTTTAGTACTTTAATTAAATTTCTGAACATTTTATTCGATTAAACTGAAATTTATTCGTTTTATCTCGAAGAAGAAATGTACATATTTTTATGATCAAAAGCTGATCAAATCATAATTTGATAAAGCATTGACTTGGAAAGCAAGCAGGTGGACAAAAGGACGTTTTTTAAAATCTGGGTAGCATTTTTCTGTTGATTTATTTTCTAGTTTTTTGCCTTTTGAATCTCCTTCTACTATTTATTTTTGAATTATTTCTGAAAATATTTCAATGATCATATATTAATAATAAAATGCTTCTTTTCTAAGAACGACAGGCTATTTTATTTCCCTTAGCTAACTAAATTAGACTCTTACAAACTTTCACCTTATTTGTACGTTTTTATGAACAAGCTTCAAAAGGCGCAACATGCTCCAATAAGTGGATTGGCATTAATTTCGGGAACAATTGTGCTCATCTTTTATTTTCTGGTTTAAAAAACAAAAAATAGCCGTTTTGTAATTGATTTCAAAAATGCTTTGATTTAGGAATGATGCAACGTCAGAAAAGATGTCAGAACCTACGAATTTTTCGGCCCAGCTTTTCATTCCTTTTAGTACTTTAATTAAATTTCACAACATTTTATTCGCTTAAGCTGAAATTTATTCCTTTAATCTCGAAGCAGAAATGTATATCCTTTCATGATCAAATCATAATTTGATCATGGAATGAATTTGAAATCAAATTTATATACGGGAAGTTTCTTAAAATCAGGGTAGCATTTTTCTGCTGCATCCAGTCTTGAACAAAAGCTCGTTTTTCATTGAATTTCTTTGCATGAAAAATGCATTTAGGTAAACGATCAAATATCCCATTCATTTCGTGTCGTCAAAATATGCAAATGTTTGCGTTGCACGAAGGACATATTTCCGAGCTGATGACATGTTTGAGAACGGAAAACGCTTTTCAAACATTCAAGGTGAGGATGCGAAACCCGGAAATGCCACGTACCTGCAATAGTCTTCAGAAGGTCAAATCTATTTGAATATACATATATATGCGGGTAGATTTTAACTCTTAGCGTTTAGCTTTGTAAACTTACGGAGACGACCAATATTAATAAAGGAGCAGCGCTAATAACTTTAGAGAAATCGCATATAAGGAAGGAGAACACCTTGCTTTGCTTGTTGTTATTTATCTTCCATCGGCTGACTTGCTTTCAAATAAACCAGCTTTTTGCATGAAATAACCTTGTGAATAAGATCTATTGAAAATTGGGAAATAAAAATGCCCAAAAACTAAGGCAATTAATTTCCAATTTTGTGAATTCAGATTTTGAAAAATTTTCAAATTCACCCTGAAGCAATGATATGATTTTAAATTGAAAATTCGTGACCACAGTGTTTTTTTGTACAACATTTTTTTGGTCAAAATGTTGTGTTTGATGATGAAGCGCTTTTTAATATTTGAATTGATATTTCCAAGACGAACTTCCCAGGTATACGTGGTGAAATCGGCATGAAAAAATCATCCGAATTTGGAATAAATGTTAAAAATTTTGTTTCATAAGGATTCGCCAAATTTTCGAATGCTGATTTCAACTGACCGTGGCTCAGCAGTTATTTTAAAGTCCAAACCGAAGCAATCGCATTTCAAGAATAATTTTCGCATGGTTTTTGACTAGCTTTAACATATATCTCGGTAAACGTACAAGTTATTCTCTCGATTATTTTCCTTATGACGCGAGTGCACTTAATTAAAGAAAATCTTTTAAAACGTTTAAGGTACTTATTAAAAATTTCTTTGACCGTGATTTCGAAATCCGCTTCCCCGTCATGTTTTCAAAACCAGTAGGTTCTTCTCTGAGGATTTAAAAATAATTTTAAAAACTGCTTTCGGTTGAAAATGTTCTCGTTTTGTCAAGGATTTTCCCGGAGGACGATTTCCTCGTTAAACCGTCTGTTCCAATTATTTTGTCAACATGGCATAATGTCAAAGATAAAAGGAAAACCTAGATCGTAAAAAAAAATGCGAGGGTGTAGAAATTGAACAAATTTCATGAATACTTTTTCTTCTTGACCGTGATTTCGAAATCCACTCCCCGTCACGTTTTCAAAACCAAGTTCTTCTCTGCATGAGGATTTAAAAATACTGAAATAAAATACGGCTTTCATCAGTTAAAAGAGTTCTTCTTCTTATTGTCAGCATGCAATTTTCCTGGAGGACGATTTCCTATCATTAAACCGTCTTTGCCGATTATTTTATCAACATGACATAATGTCAGAGAAAAAAATGGAAAACCTAGATCGTGAAAAAAATGCGGGGGTGTAGAAATTGAACAAATTTCATGAATACTTTTTCTTCTTGACCGTGATTTCGAAATCCGCTTCCCCGTCACGTTTTCAAAACCAAGTTCTTCTCTGCATGAGGATTTAAAAATACTGAAATAAAATACGGCTTTCATCAGTTAAAAGAGTTCTTCTTCTTATTGTAAGCATGCAATTTTCCTGGAGGACGATTTCCTATCATTAAACCGTCTTTGCCGATAATTTTATCAACATGACATAATGTCAGAGAAAAAAAACTAGATCGTAAAAAATGAATAAAACACCTTTAAAACTGTTTTGTTTTTAAGCCACCCCCACACCTACGCTTCCTTCCTACTACAGCTGTGAAACTGAACTCGTAGCGGGGCCTTGTGTAGGTAGTGCACTGGGACCCCGGCTGAACGAACAGAGCCAGTGACAAGTTCTCCTTTTTACAAGACCCAAAAAAATAAAGTCTCATAAAAGAAAAAAAACAAGAAAACAACTCTGGTTCTTTAATGAAAAAGGCCATGGATAGGACTACGAGTGAAAGATAGAGCAGGTGAAGGGTAGTGCGCGGAAAAGTTCCTAAAAAAAGTTTTAATTTTAAAAGTTAAAAGGAGGCTTCGGGTCCCCCGTTTGTTCTTCCGTCTGAGGAGGAACACGTTCTACAAGGCCCTGTAAATGACTATAAAGGTGCGGTACAGCGAAAAAAAAAAAGGATTTATACTGAATATGTCTGCATCTTTTAACCTTGGTTGATGGTGTCATGAGCTCTGAGTGAGTTCAGGTGACTGTGGGACACAACATTAAATGAAAGAAGAGCAAATGACATGGGAGCAAGTGGCAAAAGATAATTTGAAAAAGAAGCATTTGAAAAGGGATCATTTGATGAGGACTCATTTGTTGAGGGGGCATTTGATGAGGGAGCATTTAATGAAGGAGTACTTGAGAAATGAGCAATTGGCAAAGGAGGATTTGTGAAGAGAACACAGTATTTTACAGGAGAGTACATTATTTTACAGATTAGTACTGTATTTGTTGAAAGAGCATTCTACAAAGTTCAAAATATTTTATAAAAAAGAGTTTTTTTATAAAAAAGTACAATATTTTCAAAGAGTGCAATATTTAAAAATTGAAGAGTATTACAAATAAAGTAAGCTATTTTACAAAAAGTGCAGTTTCTCACAAAACAATACAGTATTTTATAAAATATTGCAATATTAACAAAAGAGTACACTATTTAAAGAAAAAGAAAAGTATTTATAAAATAGTGGAGCTAATATTTCAAAATACTGTATTTACTTGAGTACCACGCGCACCTTTTTTCCCAAATTTTAGAAGAAAGAAAGGGGTGTGCGTCATAAGCGGGTACAAAATTTTCAAGATGTTTTTGGAAGTTATGTTTGCATTCTACTTGATTATAATGGAGAAATTTGGAACAAATTTAACGAGAAAACTTTTTTCTGTTGAAAATGTTGAATTTTCATCAGATTTTTGTTCAATTCACACCTAAAGTCAAATTTTTTGTTTTTATTTTTGAAATTTTATGGTTTTAGATTCACTAAAAACTGGGGTGCGCCTCTTACTTGGGGATACGATTTTTGCAAAATTTTCAACTGAAAAACCCCTGTGCGCACCTTACTTGAGGGCGCATGGTACTTGAGTAAATACAGTAGTACAGCATGTATTTAAAAAGGATGATATTATTCCACAAAAAATAATACAGTATCTTATGAATAAGTTGGCAGCATAAAAAATGCAATATAATTTGAAAGGTTCTTCTGTACCCTTTTGAAGGATGGCTGTAAACGACCTAAACATTCCTTAAAAACTTGAATGAATTTTGTTGTTGTCATGATTCCACACCATAAGTACATTTAAGAGATATACATACCCACATTTTCTTACTTGGTACAGATGGTACCTCACAATTCCACCTCCCACAATGCAACCATCCCACAATTCAATGGTCAACTTTTCTGGGAGGTCAGCTCACAATTCGACCTAGGCCCTGCAATTTGAACCACAGAGATGAGCAAAAATGTCAAATATCATGTAGAAAACATTGCATTTGAAGTTGCTTTGCAATGCAACTGCTTTGCAATTCAACCCTAGTTCAGCAACAGATTAGGAACAAGTTGTGGGGCACCACCTGTACTTCAGTTTGAACAACTTCAAGACTCAGGACTACAGGAGTGACCAAAAGAAAAACATTCAAGGTTGAATTGTTTACATATGAGGGCTATTCTTGAGTAAAAAAATTTAAGAGATTTGAATGAATCATGGATGTGCTGCAGGATTTGTAAAAACTGATAAAAGACAAAATGATCAGTCAAATTTTTAATTGGGAATCCAACAAATACCAAAGCTAAAATTTTTGTCAAAAGAACTCGTTGAAAAAATAATCTATAAAATCCCACAGCAGAAGATACCATTCTATCATTTTGAATCAAATAACAACTAATAATGTTGAAATCTGCATGAATCTTTAAAAATTATGAAAAAATATTTGCGAAGTTCCTCTAATGAGGCTAGTGGGACTTTCATAAAACCTATGAAGTACTTTTAAAAAAATTCGAAATAAAAAATGTCCCATTCTGACGAGTTTCACCTTAATTTTTTGTGTGTGCCATTTTTTAAATCCTCACTTATGCAATTGCATTCTGAATCACCTGCTGAAGAGTCTATTTGGTTTACTCAATTTGAATGAACTCTTCAGTTTACTTTTTTTGTTTCTGAGTTACTTTTTTATACTTGGGTTCCAAACTGCAATGAAGGCAGATGTGGTTTTTCTTTGTTTTTTTGTGTGTTTTTTTGGCCAACTGCAGGAAAAAGGTAATAAGCTTGCGAAATCTCGTCTCGCCACGTGCATCCATCAGATCCTTATTTTCCCTCTCAAGGACGAGGTCCAATAACTTCCCATCATTCTTGTCGGGGTTATGTTAAGTCATCTCTCAATGGTCTGCAATCATTTTGCCTCTGAATCTGAAAAACCCCCGAAAGATGGATAGAAATAGGGAAGAAAGATCAGAAGCATTCAGAAGAACGGTATTCTCTTGCTGCATCATCTTTCCGAATTTTTTTTTTTTTTTGTAGATACTGGTGTTTGGCAATCGAAAAAGGATTGATCGAGACTACTCGGAATTTATTGCGAATTCTTCTGACGTGCTCGTAAAAAAAATGTCCGAAACACAGCTCCTTATTATTTTTTATTTTCGTGTGTTTTGAACGATTATCGCGTTGAATAATATTGAAACCGCTATTATATAGACGTAAAACATTGGAGACAAACAAAAATCCAAGATATGCGTTTCCAAAGAAATTTTCAAGTTGTGATTCCATTTAATCGCTGTAGCTTCATTTTTGCAATTTTCGAAATTCTGTGAAAATATATGCGGAAGGTGAAAATCCGAAACTTTCCAAATTTGAAAACTATCAAATATTCACGTTGGTGATTTTGAATTTGACATGAAAAGAACATTTTTCTGAATTATTTTTGCAACTTTTATCTTGATTTACGAAGAATTCCTAGGGAATGCTTTCCAACAGCTTTCGGAATGAAGAACAAGTTATTTTCCCACAGTTCTATTAATTTTTTTCTCATGTCCGGCCACATACTTAAAATTTATAGTTTTCAGGCTACTAAAGTATTTTCTTAGTCATTGGAAAAATTAAATCAATTCCGAGACCAGAAGAGTGAAAATATAGGCTTTTGAAGAATGTCCTCATATAGAGGACTATAGAAAAAAATAAAGTACTGTATTTCTATAGGAAAACGAAGAATTCAAATTGCGCTGACAGATGGATTTGTGTGTGTGCATTTGCTAATCGAATTTGCCTCTAAACCCCACTGCATTGCTGTTTCTGTTTCTCTTGTGTTGCTTAATTACAGTACTTGAGAGTAAAAGATCTTTTGAAGGGCCCTCTATAAGAGGTGAATAATGGCTGATTCCCACAGTGATTTAGTTCTACCTAAATTCATTCCTTCCTTTGCTGTTTTGGATGAGTATTTCAAGTGAGTCAAGTTTTGAAAATTGGGTCTTCTCTTTCTGCGGGGAAAAAATTCGAGTTCCAAGAGTAGACAAGTACCAAGTATAAATTAAGAAATAGACTCATAAAAAGGTGCTCCTTGGGAATACTGGCCCAAATAAGTTATTTTTTTAGTGAATACTGTATTCAATTTTCTAGTTGTGGGCATCAGCAGCAGCAAACAAAAAAAAAATCAACCAAATAAGTTATCTTGCTAAATATTCAATTTTCTATTTGTGGGCATTAGCAGCAGCAAATTCCTGAGCATCAACAATTTTTCATTTTGTTCTAGTTTTTTCATGCAGTTGAATCTTTTTTTTTTACAGTGAATCTCATTATAACAAATAATCAATTACAACAAATGAGGTTTTAGGTCTCTGTCCAATGGCCAAAATGTTCAATTTGTTACCTGATAACGAAGTTTTCTTTAAAACAAAGCTATTTTACTGGGTTACTTATTGTAGTGTGATTTTATTCAGTACAGTATAGAATCTTATTCCAGCCAATGGCATTATAATGACAAATTAATATTTCAATTTCAATTGAGTTTCATCTATTTGATTAAACTTTTACACTTTGCTGTAACACAATTCTATTGTATTTCTGAACTAGTACTTTTTTTTTGAAAATCCCGTCTTCTATTTGTGGTCATTATTCAAAGCAGCAAAAGAAAAATCATTTCTTCAGCATACAAATGTTTTCTTCTTGCTTTAGTTATTCATGCAAAATTGGAACCATTCCTGTGTCTGTTAAAAATTTCTCATCAGAAGCAGCATAAGAAAAAAAATGTCCTATAGCATCAAGAATTTGCCTTCTGGTTTTGGTTTAACATATATTTCTGAGCGATTCCTTTTTTATTTGTTCTCTATTCCTGGTCTTCAGCAGCAGAAGCAGCTCAAGAAAGAATAAATAAAAAAACATTCCCCTAGCCTCAACAAGTTTCCTTGTTTGAGTTTTTTCCTGCAAAAAAAATAAAAAAATAAAAAAATAAAAAAGAGTAAAAATAGAAGCATGCACATCACACATCTCGCAACCCGTGGGCAAATGGGCAATATACAACCATTCATCCAGGTCCGGGATTTCCGAAAGTCCCGCCGTTAACTGCAGGGGCGGGGGGGAGGAGATGATGATTCTTGATGCAATAACCGCGATATGGAAACGGTGATCTTTTGAACCCCCGGGAAGCAAGGCCGTCTGGCCCAACAGGAGGGCCCACACACACACACACACACACACACATGTGCATATAAAAAGAAATTTACTACGCGTCTGATGATGATGATGATGGAGGACCCGGGTTTTCATTTTATTTTTCAAAGAAAGGAAAACGAAACAATGGAGAAGATAAACTCGATTATAGGCCGCACTTTCCCAGAGAGGAATAAAAAATGTTTGTATATGGCCTACATATTTTCAGGTGGACTCCCTTTCTATTTTCATGGCTGACCCAAGCTGACATATGTTGTGATCAATGATCACAAAAGAAATGAATAAAAAAAGAGGCAATCAGCCTTTTGAGGCCAAGAACACATTTTCAAAGGGGTTGCCTTGATAATATATGCCCCTATAGTTTTGATGAATTTTATTGAATGTTTTCAGCAGAGTCAAATAAGATTGAAAATTCATGAGAATAAACACAATCAATCCACAGAGCATAATTGAATCACAAGATCATAGATCACAGCATAAATAAGAAACCCAGATTTGTGCACAAATCAGGAAAGGTGAAGGAGAAGATTGTCCTTCAATAGTTCAGGACAGACTTCTTAGAAATTCGAATTGAATTTTTTTTTTTGGGTTTTGTCTGCCGGTCCAAAAAACTGACCAGAAAATTCCAGAACATTCTTGCATTTTTCCTTGGCCTCTGATTGGATTCAACTCTGATGCAAATCCTATATAGCATCACCAATTCAGTATCAAACTTCTTCAATTGATCTGATTTTTTCTTCACATTTTTTTTGGTGCCTTGCATTTTGCTGTAGAGTGAGTCCATCTGTATACTGTATTTTTAATTGGGTACCAGTCAAGTAAGACATGCGCACCAGGGTTTTTCATTTGGAAGTTTTGATAAAATTGTATCCCAAATGTAAGGTGCACAAAACCTTCTTAGTGACTTTAGAACCACAGCATTCATTGATTCCATCAAATTTATTTTTAATAGCGGGCAGTTTTATTTGAAGGGAGCTTTTAATGGGCTAAAAAAATTATTTGGATGCTTAGACAAATGTACAATTCATCTCATGAATCCTGTATCCATCTCATACAGGAAGAAATTTTATTTGCAGGAAGAACAAATAATCCCCATGAGTAAAGTTTTTTAAACCGCCGGAGAGGAATTAAAGTTTAAGAGAACTCTGCAACAAATTTAATCTGGCACTTTTTGTCTCCTAGCTATAATAAAAAAACGTATTTCCCTTCTTCATTTCATTGAAAGGCTTTACAATCTTCATTATGAATAAAAATAATTTTATTTTCAAAAATAGGATGTCAGCCTTGGACATAAATCTGACCAAGAGGACCCCACTTATAGAAATAGTATATTTACCAGCAGGTAAATTATGGGAGAAATTTGTCCTTGAGCTGACTGTCAATGAAATTCTAACTACAGTATATACCCCAGTGACCAAGTCACCCTGTGAAGGCAAATTTGTGAGAAACAGCCAATATCAAAGGTCAACAATGATTATACAGACCACCAAAATTGCTATTTTATTCAAGAAGCTGTCAAAAATCTCAGCAACACTGTTTTTCTAAACATTGCTGCAACACTCTTTCAGCAATCATGACTTCTTTCAAAATAATTCCCTCAACACTTGATATTTTTCAGATTTAAAAAATTATAGAGCCTGGTGATAAATCAATGAATTTTTACAAACCTAGGCTAGAAATCAACCTATTTCAGTTTGATGCAAATTTTGAAAATGCACATTCAGCAAATTGATGCAAAGGAATTTGCAACTATGACAACCCAGCAAATATTTTTTCAGAAAAACGTATAAAAATACAAAGTGCTTATATTTAATGCTAAAATGCAAAAGAAACAAGCTTGAGTGACATCTGTCCAAAAAGTGCTGTTGACACAGCAAACATTCAAGAGTAAAAGAATTCACATTCCTGGCTTCAATTTCGTTCTCGCCCAGGATTTGCATAATTCCCATTGATGAAAACTAGAGTGGATTCCGTGATTAGAGTTTGCAAAATTCTGTGAAGTTACCACATCAGGCTTAAGTATAATCCATCAGTTATGCAATCCCCTGCTGCCAGTCGAAAGATGATTTTTCCCTCGAAAAAAAACAAACAAAAAGCTTGTGCAATTGATACAGAAACTGAGGTTACATCCTTCCCTTTGCTCAAATACGTGCCAAAAATAAAATAAAGGCGGAGAAAGTCACAGTAAATCTGTTTTCCTGGATAAGTTCGAAGCTCATCTTGGACAGACATAAAAAGTTCTGCACATAAAAAATAATACTCTACAAACGTCACAAATGGGGACTGGTCTGCTCAAACATATATTACACCTTGAGAATACTGCATATGAAAAAAAGAAGAAAAGAATGAAATATTAATATTTTTTCGCCGGGTAAGAGGGGGGGAGAGGGGTTGTTTACCCCATGGGGAAACGGCCAACGTTATGCTAATCCCCGCATTCTTTTCTTTCTTGGTCTCTGTGATCATTATTAACGCCGTCGGGGTACTGAACCGAGTTGTTGCGCAAAAATTCGCTTCAAGTCTGGACAAACCACCGGAAGTAAATTATTCTGCGTCGAGGAATGGAAGAATAAAAGTTTGATGCAGGATGAGAGAGAGAGAGAAAGAAACGGTGAGCGGAAGTGCTGAGGTCAGATATGGATTGAGAGGCTTGAAAGGCGCGGCGGAATTGATGTCAAGGATATTGCCAATTTTGAATGATGAGGACAGAATCCTGAAATACAAGGGTTTCTGCATAAGTTCCACTGTGTCTGCCTGTCTGTCCGTCAGTAGCCCTTTTGCAGTGATGCGAGATAAATTTTCAGGAATTTATCACTGGACATTTTCAAATCAAAGAAATTTATATATTGCACTGCCAAATTGAGCCTAATCTAGAGATCACTCATGTTTATTTTTATATCTTTTCAAAAAAGCTTTGGAAGAGTAAAAAAAAAAAAAGCCTCTCTTAAGACTGCTGGAGGGGTTCAACCTTCAAAAATAGGATTAACTTAATCCTATTTAATTTCAATGCAGAAAATGTATTTTGCACCACAGCTCAATAGAAAATAACCCTCCACTTCTGAAGGGTTAAAAAGTGACAGACAGGCATAAAAATGGAACTTATTTTAAAACCTACTGAATCACATTCCTCTCAATTTTTAAAATGAAATTGGTAAAGACTCTGCGGGGCATTAATGGAACCAGACAAGAAAATGGATGATAAAGTTGTAGTGAAAAGGGGCAATCAGCCAGTTTGGAGTCAAGAATACAGGTGGTACCTTGCAACTCAACTCTAAACCATTGCTGGACTAGGTTCAAATTGCAAAGCAGTCAAGTTGCAAGAAACTTCATAAAATTAAGAAATATGAGCACAAAAATGCAAAAAAAAGGGGCCAAAGCAGGTTGAATTCCAGGGCAGAGACTGAATTTCTAGTCAATCTCTCGGCAAATTTGAACTGTCAAATTGCAGGATGGTCAAATTGTGGGATGGTCAAATTGTGAGGTACCACTTGTACATACTTGCTGTATACAATGAGACACCTTGAACATATGTTGCTCGCTTTTCAGAATGATTTATTGAGTGATTTGACAGCAATTAAATTACAATTCACAAAGAAACACTTCAAACAATACACAATTGAGTAAAACAACACAAATCCAACTTTGAAGACAGATATGACACGCATAACTGTTTTTGGAAGTCCTTCATAAATATTTCACAACCAAGTAATTGACTCTAACAGTTGTCCCCATATTTTCATGTTTTATGCCTTAAAATTTTTATGTGACTGCAGATTCCACTCCCTGCAATCAATGCATTATGTTCATGGATTGTGCTTTGCAAGTAAAGCTAGTTTTAATACTTTTCCANGGAGAGGGGTTGTTTACCCCATGGGGAAACGGCCAACGTTATGCTAATCCCCGCATTCTTTTCTTTCTTGGTCTCTGTGATCATTATTAACGCCGTCGGGGTACTGAACCGAGTTGTTGCGCAAAAAGTCGCTTCAAGTCTGGACAAACCACCGGAAGTAAATTATTCTGCGTCGAGGAATGGAAGAATAAAAGTTTGATGCAGGATGAGAGAGAGAGAGAGAGAAACGGTGAGCGGAAGTGCTGAGGTCAGATATGGATTGAGAGGCTTGAAAGGCGCAGCGGAATTGATGTCAAGGATATTGCCAATTTTGAATGATGAGGACAGAATCCTGAAATACAAGGGTTTCTGCATAAGTTCCACTGTGTCTGCCTGTCTGTCCGTCAGTAGCCCTTTTGCAGTGGTGCGAGATATATTTTCAGGAATTTCTCACTGGACATTTTCATATTAAAGAAATTTATATATTGCACTGCCAAATTGAGCCTAATCTAGAGATCACTCATGTTTATTTTTATATCTTTTCAAAAAAGCTTTGGAAGAGTAAAAAAAAAAAAAGCCTCTCTTAAGACTGCTGGAGGGGTTCAACCTTCAAAAATAGGATTAACTTAATCCTATTTAATTTCAATGCAGAAAATGTATTTTGCACCACAGCTCAATAGAAAATAACCCTCCACTTCTGAAAAGCCTCTCTTAAGACTGCTGGAGGGGTTCAACCTTCAAAAATAGGATTAACTTAATCCTATTTAATTTCAATGCAGAAAATGTATTTTGCACCACAGCTCAATAGAAAATAACCCTCCACTTCTGTAGGGTTAAAAAGTGACCGACAGACATAAAAATCTAACTTATTTTAAAACCTACTGAATCACATTCCTCTCAATTTTTAAAATGAAGTTGGTAAAGACTCTGTGAGGCATTAATGGAACCAGACAAGAAAATGGATGATAAAGTTGTAGTGAAAAGGGGCAATCAGCCAGTTTGGAGTTAAGAATACAGGTGGTACCTTGCAACTCAACCCTAAACCATTGCTGGACTAGGTTCAAATTGCAAAGCAGTCAAGTTGCAAGAAACTTCATAAAATTAAGAAATATGAGCACAAAAATGCAAAAAAAGTGGCCAAAGCAGGTTGAATTCCAGGGCAGAGACTGAATTTCTAGTCAATCTTTCGGCAAATTTGAACTGTCAAATTGCAGGATGGTCAAATTGTGGGATGGTCAAATTGTGAGGTACCACTTGTACATACTTGCTGCATGTATGAACGACATATGTTACTCTGTGGAACTTGTATACAACGAGCGAAAAGTCTTACTAAATAACTCACTAAACTGTCGTTAATTTAATGTTAAGTGTTTCTTTGTGAAGTTTGTTATGTGTTATGAGTAAAACAACACAAATCCAACTTTGAAGACAGATATGACACGCATAACTGTTTTTGGAAGTCCTTCATAAATATTTCACAACCAAGTAATTGACTCTAACAGTTGTCCCCATATTTTCATGTTTTATGCCTTAAAATTTTTATGTGACTGCAGATTCCACTCCCTGCAATCAATGCATTATGTTCATGGATTGTGCTTTGCAAGTAAAGCTAGTTTTAATACTTTTCCAGCTTGAGAAAAATAAATGAAATTCCCTTTTATAGGAAGATCACATTTATCTCTTATTATGACTGCAGCTAAAGGAAGACTGATGAAAAATCTTTAGAATGCAATCATGAGACAGGAATACACTTTACAAGGTCCAATAAAATTCTGTAAATGTGTTGCCACTGGAATCTTTTAGGTTTTGAATTTTTTGAAGTTTCAGCAACGCTGCTTCTCCAGCATCAAGACAATTTTATCTTCGTTCTGACGTTTTACACAGCATGACTAAAGAAAAGAAGGCATTTCTCTGAACCACAGATATGAAGGATTCGTTGACTGGCTAGACACAAAGAGAGCTTCAGTTTTTATGTGTGATTGCTCAATGCAAACCCCAACTGTTTGCCTAGCAATCACCATAAATCATCAGCTCTCTCCTGACCCCTGTCACGTTTAATTGCCAGCTCTCTTCACCTAAGAATAACATAAACGTTTTAATCATCTTTTTTTGTAGTAGGAATAAATAAGTAAATGGAAGAGAACCCTGTCAAACTTGCAAGTAATATGTACTAGTACATTGAGAACCTGAAATATGGACACCCTGGTATACCAATGATTTCACTTAGGGACACTTGAAACTTTGAAAAATCTGACCTGACATCCAAACAATATCTTGACATATGAACACTTCAGCATTTCTAGAAAAATAAGAAATTTGTACTTTCCAAAATTTGGATACTTGAGCTATTTATGTTCACAAAAGTTGAAATTTTATTATATATTGACACAAATTTAAAATAAGAAGCACGTTAATTTGGTACTTCTTATTTTGGGACATTCTTCATCTCACCTGTGCACAGTATAGCAAGACTTGTAATTTTTGTTTGTCTTTTGGGATCATTTTAATGGCAGAAAAATCAGAGTCTGCATGGTTTTCTTCTGCACAGTTATTTTCTGTACCTTTCAGCAGTTGAGAAACACATTTTATTAATTTTTTTTGTAGGATTTATTCCTCAGTTTTGATGAACTGGAGAACCAATTGAATAAGTTACCTTTGAAGTCCATAGGAAATCATGGTCCAAATTGGGTACTTTCCTACATAGGGACCAGGTCACCTGTGTAAATATTGGGCACAAAGGACTGCAATATAAGTTGATGTCAAGTATTTTGTCAATAAGCAATGAAACAAATTGATCAATCCAGGACTGGACCAGGATTCCTTTTGGAATTCCCACATTAAAGGGATAACACTGTATTTCACAAGTACGGTTTATATGAATAAACAACTCAACAAGCTTGGACTTGTAAGGATAATGAGGATAACTTGAGTAAACACACAGTTGAACTGAATCTGAATCTGCTAATTGGAAAAGGAGCAGCTTATATACTAACAATTATGTTTAACCTTCATAAGGTTCTACTATGCAATCAGAATAGAAGAAGTTATTGTCCAGGATGCTGAGGTGGCACTGCAATTTTGAGGAGGGGGAAATAGAATCTTTACTTCTAAGAATTGAGTATATTAGAATATTTTACTATGCTTGGCATGCATGCCCAACAGTAAAAATACTTTTCTGCACACATAAAATTTGTCCAAAAGCTTAATTGAGCCGAAGTTTTTTTTTAAACCCTCAACAAACTGAGGATATAAATCAGTTACCCCTCTGGAGAAAGTGAAGTGCTTCAATGATTTTTTTTATGATTTTCAGCAAAGATCAAGTAGGTCAAATTCTCAAAATTCTCTTTTAGCCATATGCAGTAGCTGGAGCATGTCAGAAAAATTGCAATGCAAAAAGACCAAGGTTTCCCAGAAAATCGCCACATAAAAAAGAATGTTATTCCCCCTCAGTTTCCATCGCAATAAGAAGTTCCTTTGAGAGGAAACAAGAATCGGGATGAACCCGGAAGCGCTTCGTTTCCGGTACGATCCAGCCTCGAACTTGTTGCCTCTTGAGCTCACCGAGTTCGTGAGTTGTGCAAAAAAATAAAACCGCGGACACACAGAAAAGTAAATTAAAAACAAGATAACATCATTTAAAAAAAAACAACAAAAACAACTACGCAGCGATTAAAAACGGAACGCACGCTTCCTGAGTCTCGGACCTTTTTGTGACGGATGAGCTGCACACGCGAAAGGCGAGCAGCAGGAAAAACCTTTTGTTTCCGGATTTTCGTGTCCGGTTTTTCACGAGGTTTCTCGCGATTTTATGGGTTTCTCGTTATTCGCAATTGAAAAAAAAACACCGTAAAGGTGAAACTATTGACTTGACGAGAGGAACATGAACGTTGTGAATCGTGACTCGAGGCTTTTCCTTGCCGAACCGGAATTGAGAGAACAGACGGCGCTGGGATGAGGTGGATTGATGCACGCTTGAACTCTTGGGCAACTTTTACCGGTGCTGTATTACTCAGTGAAAACTGAGTTGCTCAAGCTCATTTTTTTATTCTTCTATTTGCCAAAAAATGTTATAATTCACCGCGACGTTCTACCGAAAATGCGTCCCACATACTGTAGTTGAATAAATAGATCTAGGCGATCATAAAAATTGACAAGATTCCGTGGAAGAAGAGAACATGCAAGAAATAATTTTTAAACATTCTCATGATGCTGAAAAATGCTTTAATCCTTATTGTGCAGGAAAGTTGGCACATTTTTGCCAAATTTTGGTCCCATATGAGCTTTGCAAAATTAAAAATTCCAATTTTTGAACCTAGGCCTAAGTTGGGAAAAAGTCCAAAATATGTTTTTTCCTGCAGAAACTTTGCCAAAAAAAATCTTATTTAAAAAATCTCGTTTTCAAAAAATAAAATGTCATGGGCCAGGAACAGATTTTGATCAAAATTTGACAAGATTCCCCTGCAGAGGAGAATTAATTCCACAATGGATAAAAAACAATTGAAATTTTGACCCAATTAATGCTATTAGTGAAGCTGGAAATTACTGTGCAGAAAGTTTCCCTCACCTGAAAGCGTTTACAAAAGATTTAAAAAAAACACACGCACACAAAAAATCATGCTTTGGCCTCGAAAGTGAAATCTTAATTAGGTGAATAGTTTTTTTTTTTAAACTACGTTTACGGGATTCCATGGAAAAGGAAAATTGAATATGCAAAATAAGTGTAACACAGATGGAAAACTCAGCAAAACTGAACAATACTGCATGAAAATTTAATCCGATTTTCAAACCCTTGCTTTAGTCGTGAAAACATCCCAAATTATTTTTGGTTTAAGAAAAACCGTCTCTATATATTTTCCTTCGCAAAACACCCCCAAATTTCCTTATACCATGATATTCATACTTCTTTTACGCCTGTTATTACATGAACATTTGGCACAGATCTGCAGTTGTTTTAGACGTTCAAACTTTAAAAACCTCAGCAATTACGTTAGTTTATGTTTGGCGAACAAAAGAATTGCCGCAATCTTGAGTAAGAAGGCGCAGGATACGAGGATCGTTGCAAAAAAATAATGTTCGAATCTTCATGCAAATATTTTTGAATCTGTGCTAAATGCGGGAGCATTGCAGTTTTACTTCCAAAAGTAGCCATTCTGGATGGAAAAAAATTACCTTTGATTGCGAATGTTTCGCACAAGGCTTGAAAATTTTACCGCAAAATCATGAAAATCATGAATATATATGCACAAGTTCTGCGGAAAGCAATCCCGAGTAGCAAATTAGCAAATTGAAAAACTTATTGTAGCTATCAGCATTTCGCAATTCAGAAACATTCTGAGGATTCGTTATTTTTATTATTTTTTAAATTCACCAAGAAAAAGTTGTAGGGATCCGGAAATTTCTTGTCTTGAATAGTTTTGTCGAACGTTTAGGTATGTAAACTCTATTTTCATTTTTTTCTTCGCAATCTGAAGAGGTTTCATATCTGAGAATATAGTGTTGTTGACCAAAGTTGTTGCAACACAAAGGTGAAGAAATTGGTTGTGGATCAAAAGAAAAAGTACTGTGTAGAAAATAAAAGGCAGATTCAGCCTGGGACAAGGCCAGGGATTCTTGGAAGAATCTCTGGATTAAAAGTTTAAAGTATATTTTTAAAAAGTCACAACACAAGGATATAAATAAAACAAGACTTCAGAATATTTTTACAACAGATATAACCCTTTCAGAAAAACCTTTCTTCAACATAACCATTCCCAAAAACAGCAAACAGTGGACTGCTGTTAAATTGTGGTGAGAAAGGTTTTTTTTTATTGATTTCTTCATCTTGTCCTTGATCCAGTATTCTGATCAAGGATAGGATGAAGCAAAATACCTGTGACTGGCCAGAAAAAGTTGAGTACAGTAAAAATGTCTGGGCAACAGAAGTTTTTGATTTTTTGGTGGGGGAGGTGAAAATAAATTGCTGGTTTTCACCAGACTATTTTTTGTAATTGGGTGGTTTTTCACTCAATTTCATTTTGCCCCAAATTAGTTTTATGCCTCAATTCATTAAGGAATGTGGCAAGTTACCAACAAATAGTTCAAAGAAATTTTGAGTGTTCTGCACCAGTGTTGCCCAATAACCCATGGTCCACATACTGGCAACAATCCACAGAATTTTTTTGTTTGAGGGAAATTTTCTGCAGGAAAATGAATTGAGAAAAGTAGTAATGAAGTCTGTTATCTAAATCTGGAACCTTGGGAAAACGAATGGTATTTGAAATTATCTAAAAAAAAAAATAAGTTGGCTTTCCTGTTATTTGCACTTCAGATGTATATTCACATGCTGAAATTAATTACTTTGATTTTTTCAGTCTGAGAAACCTTTCTTCAAGCCCACCTTTCTATAATTCTTCAAAAACCTTACACTATATGCCTACTCCATTTTATCTTAATTTTGGGGGAAAAATTTGTAAATGCCCGCCATCGCTTTCTGCAAAAATTTTACAAAACTTTGACAGTCAGCAGAAAAAGTTTGGGAAATTTGCCAGTCTGCAAAACATTTTAAAGCAATTTGCGAGTCTGCAGGACCAAAAAGTTTGCGGAACACTGTTCTACAGAATTTCTGTAGAACTTCAAGATTAAATTTTTCATATAAAATGACAAAATCATAAATTTTCAGGTCTGATCATGAAGCAAGGCTAGAAAATTTTTACATTTGGGAAAAATACCAATATTAAAAAACAAGATTTATGAATGTTAGCTGAAGTATTTGTATCTTGCCCAACATTTTTTCCCAAGAATATATACAGTATGACGTTTTAAAATAATTTAGCAATCTCTGAAAGAATGTTTTAAAATATGCAAATGTTGCTTAAAACGTGAATTTCTTCGTCTCTTTTGTTCCAGGAAGCACAAGTTCGTCAATCGGCGACGATCAGACATTTTTTTGCTGTGGGTTCGAAAAATCCTCGCAAATTTATTCGCCTTTGGTCCACACTAACACTTCGTTGAATAAAAGTTGTTGTCGTTGTTTTTTTTTACCCGATGTTTAACCAACGTCGTCGTCAGCGGTGACACGATTAACCACTCCGGTCTAAAAAGGATTTACCCCTAAATAAATCCGCCATTCTTTTGTGATGACGCATATTAAATTGACATTTTGAGAAACCATCAGCTACAGTACGAACGTGGGACGAACGAAATTGTCAAGTAAGTGACGTACGTATTGACATACTTGTACAAATTATACCTTTCATGGACTGTCTGACTTATTCTCTTGCGTATATCTTGAAAATTATTTTTTTAATCATCTATATCATTTTTTATGGTCGATATATTCGCCTGCACTTTAAATTGTGACGGGAATTCATTATTTCCGTTTTCCTTAACGCTGAAATTTTTTGTTCTTTTGGCAAAATTTTCAAGAAAGGTTATTTATTCGTGCAGTAATTTATGAAGTAGATCGAAAGAAGTATTTATTTCAAGATTATATGCGCGAGGTGATCTATAGAAAGTCAAGATTTGCGTTTATTGGGAATATTGAGAAATAATTAAATTGACAGGAGATGACGAGAGTGAGAATTGATGGAATGTTATTTCTTTTCTGATTTGCGTTCTTGCAGCCATCAGCTACGTGCAGTCTGGGCCCACTCTTCATAGAGTGAGTATTTTTCATTATATGTATATGAAAGAAGTGGGTCAATTGAACGACAATCGTCCACATAAAGAAAAATATGCTTGTTGACGCATCAGAAATGAGGAAGGTTTCTTAAAATTGTTCACATGCCGAGATTGATCTTTGGTACTTTCTTTTGCGAAGTTTATTCATTTTACTTCTGAGTTCTAGCTGTTATTACAATACTGTATTTGATTTTCATGCTGAAAATACCGTATATCAAAGTCTAGTTAATGTTGATAAATTAGGCGAGTTGCTCAATTAATTTTCTAATTTTTGTGTTTCTTGTTGATGAAGTCATGGATGGAGTTGGTGTTTCCAGGGTATTATTTTATTTTTCATTTCATTGCAATTTCCAAATGATTCCTCACTCATCAGCAGGTTGACATTAAGAAAATCCTTCAGATGAGAAGAATTTTGATTTTTGTTGCATTTTTTTATGAATTGTTTTCAGGCGAAAGTCAAGTGCTAAATGTAATAATTCAATTGAAATAATGCCTCAGGCATCTGACCACCATGTGGTATTGAAAATATGTTCTAACGTTATTAAATGATACTGAATGTGAAAATTTTCCCTAAAATGGAAATGGTGAAAAAGAATTTCCCCGAGACTTTTCAAAACCTTTTTTGAAAAAGCAAAAAAAGCAACAAAGTTCAGGTTACTAAATAAGTTATAAGTTCTCTTTTAACTCGAAATCAAAGTAAGTCTTTCGTAACTTAAAAATTTTAACTCACAGCATGTAAATTAAACGTGCATTTTTTATAGAAAAGTTTATGTGCCAAATTTTTCCATTTTGAGAAGATGATCTCGGTCGTTGTTTTTGTATAAAAAACTAACTAGGTCAAAATAACTTGTGAGATCGTTCATCGAAATTTTGAAATCAGGATTAAGTCGAGGAACGGCGGTATTGCACCTCATTTATAATTGTGTTCATTTTTATTGAAAAAAAAATCAGTCGAAGAGATGGGAGGAGTTCCCCAACGTGACGCTGACATTTGATTGCACCGGCCGGTCAATCGGCTTCTACGCGGACCAAGAGTTCAACTGCCAAATCTTCCATTTGTGCGACGCTGATGGCCGCAGAATCCCGTACATTTGCGCCAACGAAACTGCCTTCAACCAACAATACCGTGTCTGCGACTGGGCTTACAACGTCAACTGCGAAGAAGCCTCCAACTGGTACTACCTCAACGACCTCACCTACGTCACCGATCCGCCGAAGCCCAAGAACTAAGCTGGCATAGCTAGCGTCATCTAGTGCAGCCTCAGTCAAATACGCCACGGTTGTCTTGCGCAGTCCCCTAGATGTCACTAACAACTCACGACGCGTTTTGCTGTTATCATCCATTCCGCACTTGTTCATAATCTACCTAGGTGTCACTGTCATGTGCTAATGCCAGAAATATGTGAATTATGTGGTTACCTGCTTGAGAAAATTGTGTGCACTGTCGTGTTTTCTAAATGGCTGCTGAAAAGGTAAAAGTGAGTGTTTTCTCCGGGAATTTTGGAAGGGAAGAAAATTTTTCATTTTTGAAGCAGCCTGTTTATTATATGGTGCCAAACAGTGATTCGGTCACTTGTGTGTATTCCGTCTTTCCCACGTCCGTCCTTCCGTTGCGAATGAGATCTCAAAGCAATTTTCCCCTATTTTTTAGTTTGTAAAATTCTTGGCTTTGTTCTTGTTGCTCCGTCCGTTTGTTCGGAAACTTTTTTTTATTTTGAGCGTGTTTCGTGCGTAGAGGCATTATCATTTCTGTTGTTTTGATGTCCTTGTCAAAATTGTTTTTTTTTATATGGCGATGAGAGAAATTGCACTCTGTGAGATTGTTCAAGATTTTTTGGGAGGTTTGGTATTTTATTTTTCATGTGTTGACTTTCTGGTCAGGGGGGAAAATTCTTGACCTAACTTTTCTCGTCCCCCTTTTTCTGGTGTTACATGAATTTGAAAGTATAGTGAGGTAGATTATAAAAAACCGAATTGTGTGATTTTGTTTGGGGTTTTGTTTAGCGTGGAATTGTACCACCACGTTTGTCCTTTTGTTTTTGTAAGCACGACTTTTTTTTTCTGTGGAAGTACGCGAAAATTTCAATAACAATAAAGCATGCTTTTTTTGCGGAACACGGATTCATGTTATTTATTATCTGAAAATTTTCTCCAACTTCGAAAGTCATGCTATGTTGTGTAGTTATTTTGTCATTTCAATTCGAAATGACACTGCTGGTGATTATCAAAATTAGTTATTTGCGATTTATGATTGAAAATTACATTTATATTGAATCTTGAATTTCTTCAGAGTGAGAGTTCGTTCTTTCGCTCACTTTTACGTAGTAGCTTTATCTAATCCAGAATTTCGAGATTGAATATTTTCCTCAATGAATTTAGATTGGTCGAAAATACAATTTTGATCGAATTGGAAACTTTTTGCCTAATCCACAGATTTTGTTTGATGGAAACTTCACGTGCAATAATACAAAAACACCGTCGAATACGAGACGCACGTGTGATTTCCAAAGTCAACTTTTGTTGATGGAAATTGCATTTGATTTTCGAGTAACTTCACAACTTCAGCTTTTCAGTCAATATAAATGGAATTTATTCAATGCAAAATTGACTTCGTATCAAACAACGGGCACCGATAATTTTCAAAGCTTCTTCTTTTTTCTTTAAAATGTATTTGGATGATCGTAAATATATCGAAACATTTCTCAAGAAAAAATATGAGCCAATCAAACATTCGATTAAATGCTGTATGCACACAAACTTTTTATTGTTGCCGTTGATTCATTGAGAAAATCAAACTTATTATTTTGAAAACCGCGAAATAAATCACTTCTGTTCTAAAATGTTGAAGCGTTGATTAACTTTTAAATTCTTGTGGCAAAATAGAGTCACATTCAAGCGAATAAAATGCCATAATGAAATATTTTTTAATGTTTCAGTTACTGGTATTCAAAGAAAAATAAATAAAGTTTATTCTCTTATAGACATTCGACTGAATATCGTAAAATATTTTTTGCGTGTTCATATTTTTTGAGTCGAATTATCGTGGAAAAAGAAAATAAACATATTCGGAAATGAAATCGCGGACTGAAATAATTAAAAAAAAACCCCCCACTTTCTTTCGAAATTTTTGGAACAATTGCACAAAATTTGCAGACAAAAAGAAGGTGTGTCAGATTGGGAGTCGATCCTTCGTCGTCATCGTCGTCGTCGTCGTCGTCGTCGGGAATTCCGCTTCTTGATCCGAATGTCGGTGGAAACATCACGCGTGGCGAATTGGTTGCCTTGTTTTGCTTCCACCCTTTTTTATTTTATTTTGGCAAGCCAATAACCTGGAAAATATTTTGGCGTGAGAGAAGCAGAAATAAATAGAGAGGTGCGAACGGGATCCGTGACAAAAGGGGTTCACTCGGGTGGTATAATGGGTTAGACACGTGTTCCTACTTGCTGTTGAATTCCCGAGCAAACAAGGCGACATTTTTTGTGTGTGTGAGAGAAACTAGTATTTTTATTTTTCTTGCTGAATAATGATACAAAGTTTCCGGGAAACACTCAAACAAAACGTCAGTACTGACGGTTATTTCACAGTTTTACGACGAACTTGAACATTCACAAATTAAACGCGACGATGAGACTTTTTTTTTTACGTTAGCTTCGGGGCTCGTTCGCTACGTTAAAATATTTTCTTGCAAAAGCTCGATTATTTTTCTTGTCTCTCTGGCGTATAAACAGCAACATTTTGGATCAGAAATGTTTGAAATAAATGTGAGCGATTCACTCAAAAATTAATAGCGATTAAGCCGTGGGAATTTGGGTTTTTTCGAAGGTAAAAAAAAATGACTCACCTATTTTTCCCCTGCTGGCGTTCTTCATTTTCAGTCTAAAAATGGCAGTAAATCAAAATTTGTCGATGAATTTTTCAGCTTTTTTAAAATCTTACAATTCAAAATACAAAGCGTTTTTGAAATACGACGCAATATCAGTTTAGATAACTATTCGTTTAATAATCGTCAGCTCGATTTTCTAACTGTTTCAGAACTTTCAAAATGTTGAATTTTTACAAAAGGCTCCTTTTTTAAAAACTTTTTTTGAGAATAGTTTCGTTGATATTCATTATAGGTACAGTATATTATTATTATATACACACATGATACACGTATATTTGAAACATCAATTCCCAAATATTGCTTCCGAGTTATCAGTTTAATTTGACAAAAATAGGGATTATCCGGTAAAATTCCTTGACTATGTTTTCAATCTGAAAGGATTCAATCAAGATTTGTTTCAAGACAATTGTCATATTTTCAAGTCAAACTGAATTACACCGTAAATATGCGAATTAAAATGTTTAATTTCGATCAGCAAAAAATTTTACGTCAACTCGAGTCAATTCAGAAGTCAAATATCTTCCAGTTATTCAAGTTTCATTTCAATAAAAAGGGAGTGTGATTTTTTCACTATTTTGAGACTTGGGAGTTTCATCAAAAGGATTTTCAAAATGTTTCATAAAATCTTTCGAGCTGTTTTTTATTTTATTTTATTTCATTTTTTGTCAATTTTACGTTGTTTAGCATTTGTTTTTCTGATTAACCCTTATGCAGATTGAAATATTTCTCTACGTGCAATCGACTTTAAAAAAAAGCACGTGAATCTCCGAGATTTGGAGAATGTGAATTGGATAAACATGATCTGAAATAAGATGACATCATAGTTACCTTGCCAAACTTTTGGCAGAAAAAGGGGAATCCACTTCACTCCGCAATTTGTCTTCGGGTTTTTCACAGACGAAAATTTCGTAGCAAGAAACAGCCTTGTCAAAGATGTAGCTCTCGTTCAAAGCACAGATACATCTGAGGCAAGAGGCTTGTTCCGACCACCGAATGACTCGTTTCTTCCTCATTTTCAACATGGCGGCCTTCTTCATTTTTTTTTTTTAATTTATGGTCGCCTTCATTCATTTTTGATTGTGGCGTCGTCATCAGCAAAAAAATTCCCGACGAAAGCGATTCGAGGAGCAGGAAGCCCCTGAAAGACAGAGTCTTTTTCTTTTTCCTTCACAGAATTCTCCGTGCTTTCAGTTTTTTTTTTTTTGCGAATGTAATTGTTGACATTTTTATGGATAATTCGCAAACTGAAGAGAGGATTAGACTCTCTTCCAAAAGCAGAATTGTGTCTGAGACGGATCCTCTCCGATTGAAGAGTTGAGCAGCGGTTCTTTGTCATAAAAAGAAGAGCCTTTTGGCTGCAAAAAGTGAACGTTAGCTGTGAGTAATAACGTACAACAACAAATTGAAACATATTTCAGAATTGAGAAACCCATAAGCTAGAGCACAAACAAAATATTGGCAAAATTTTCAGATTGCGTCCCTGCGATGCGAAAGGAATTTCTTTGTCGATCAAAAGACAAAAAAAAACACAACAACTTTTTGAAATGACTCTCATATATGCAATAATTATTGAGAAATTCCCTTGAAATCGTCCCAGAATTGAGTGTGGGAATTTTTCCACAGCAGTTGTAATTGAAATGCTTTTCGACAAATGGAAAAACGTAATAATTCAGCAAATTTAAGCGAAGAAAAAGGTATTCGCAAACTCAACAGCTTTCGTTTAAAAATTGAACGATTTCGAAACTTTCGATAAAACTCTGCATTTAAAATTTAAACTTTCATTTTTCAAATAGACTAGACTGATTCCTTTTTCAAATACACACGCAAGTATTTAGTAGCAATCGGTTAAATATGTTCGAATATTAAACAATTTCGGGGATTCATTTTGGCGAAAAACTTTGCGAATACTTTCAATTTCAAATCTGCCAACTGACTTCTTGTTAAAAGTATAACAAAGTTTATGCGATTAAAAAAAAAATTACCGACAAATTTCTTGAACTTTTCATGAAATCAAGTTTCTGTAAAATTTGGCACGCATTAAAATGATTCGTGATTGATTTGCAAGATTTGTTGAATATCGCTCTCTGATTAAATTCAATGAAATAATATCATTTTTTGGTAATTCAGAAACTTGGGACCGTAAATTGAAATTTCAAGGACTAATTATATTTACTTAAATTTATTGTTTACGGTATTAGCGTATTTTTTAACCTTATATTTCCTGCTTTTGATTTTTGCAAGCCATAAGTACGACAAACAGAAGAAACAAAGTCGGCAACTCAATTTTCAAAAGAAAGCGTCTTTTGTAAGTACCTGCGGCACTTGGGGGACAATTTTCCGCCAAAAAAAAAAAACAGCAAAGCACACACTTGTACAGTACACAACAACAACAACGAGAATATTGCCAAGGTGAAGAAGGCATATGGTGGGGAAAAAAAAAACGGCGACCAAGCAAGTGTCGTGTTTTGGATGAGGGGGAAAACTGACACTTTTTCCCTGGCGTCGGTCCGGGGTTTTTATACCCCGTCACGCATAAAACGCTGACGTACGTGAACACGTAACACCCGCCACAGGGTTCAGGCGCTGCTCACACAACACGCCTGGGATTGTCTATACCTCACCCTCCGTCTGTGTCTCATCTCCTCCTATCTCTCTTATATTGTCAACTGACTCCCGTCACGCCTTGTAACTGTATTTAATTATTGATCACCACGTGTCCTAAAACTAAAAAAACACGCGTACTAATTTTAAAGCTGACATTTTGTTAAAATTATTATGCCTTAAATGAATTTTTACGTATCTTTTGTTTTCAATGTCAGGGAATGAATGGGTGTATGCATATACATGTCAGATGTCCAGTTGTATTTTGTGGATTGTATTTTCTTTTATTTTTGTTACAAATAAAGTGTTCTGTTCATTCATTCATTCATTCATTCATTCATTCATTCATTCATAATGCCTCTCTTCTCTTTTGTGACTTAACCACGCTCTGCTACCACTTTTTGTGCAAAATCAAGCATCACACTTGAAATTTTGAGTTGGCAAGTTTTGCTGAGGATGGAACAATTTGAGCAATGAAAAATTGAAATGCAATAATTGGTGAACGCACAACTGACCTAAGGGATTTTAGTCCCAAGAAAATTGCAAGCTCTTTGTTCTTTTTCACAAAAAAATTGGCAAACAAGTGCATGAGAACTTATGATGCTTGGGTGTCAAACTTCCAAGCATCAGGAATTCTTCTTGAGGAATGTGTGACATGAGATTTTTTCCAAGGTTTTTATACCTGGATCCTTTAATTGGGATGGTTTCTATTTCCCTCTGGCAGTTGTTTTCTTTTGATAACAAGGAGGTGATTGTAAATCATTGCCCAGGACTGTTGTGTGAGACTTTCCAGCCCATCACTAGTGGGAAACATCTGGGTTAGCTTTTCCACAAAAATAAAGGGTTTGATTTCTGTGGAGGCAGAGATGAATTTTTGTTCAAATCAAATTTTTGAAAAATTGACCTGTATAGCCAGGCTCCTGGGGTGGCGTTTATGCCTTTCAAAAAGCATGGGGGAGAACAACTCCCAATTTTTGTTGTTGCCAAAACAGTTTTTTGGATTAGGTTTTTATGACCCCCTTATTCAGCTTTATTACTCCCATGACAGCAAATTTATTGCCGTCAAGGTTTTTGGCAGTTGCGCAGGCTCTCATGTCCATGCAGAAACAAAGTTTCTGCGCATCTTGTTTCAATGTCTTTCTTTTTCTCTTTCTTACAGAATTTGTAAAATGAGGAAGATTTGAAAGGACTAAAAATTCCTGAGCAGATATTGGGGATTGATTGACAGTAATTATAATGATGTAGATATTTTTTGTGAATTTCATGGATTATACGGCAATACATTTTTGCAAAATTTGCCTGCGGAAAACCTTGACAAAGCCCATGTTGTGTCTTTTTCTTTTTTAATTCGAAAACTCTATGTTCTGGCATTTTCTTAAACCTCCAGAATTAACTGAATCTGAATTTGTATTTCAGTTGGAAAGAGGCTGATTTGTTGCTGCTGATCAATATATTGGCATGCAAAAAAAGTCACGAACACTGTCTTTATAAACCCAGGCTTTTCATTTTGGCGCCAAACACTCTCATCTAAATTTATTCCGGTAACACACTCAACCATATTTCATTTTTATATCAATTAAAGCTCTTTTTTTTAATGAGTTGGGGAAACTTTTATTTCGAAGAGGCCGTTATCCGAACAATTTACACCTCGGTTAATGGACAGAATAGTGAATTTCCAGCATGAGGTACTCCAAAACTTCTACTGCTTTTGCGTCCAATAAGTCCTCTAGCTGTTTTGAAATAATGGGAGGTGTATAGATATCCTTTTAAAAATGGAATTGTTGGAAATTAGGATTGCGAATATAATTTCAATTGCATCAAGCTTTTCCTCATTGGTTTTGATTGATTTTTAGTAGTATTTTTTTAAGTGTTTTTGCTTAGGTTCTAGGAAAGTTTTGGTTGGAAATATATTTATCCTTGATCTTATAGAGAGGATTTCGTAGAGGTCTGCGATATGCAAACTTTATTTTGATTGAAAATTTTTTGCGTCTTTCAGTGTATACAGTTTTACACCATTCGATCAATAGACTTTTAGGATAGTGAGCATCCAACTGGATTCGATCGATTAAATCCATAAACCGAGTTTGAAATGCATATACAGTATAACCGATTTTCCTCGTCTTTTTCCATCATTTCTGCTAAAATGTGAGCAGAATTCAGTTTATCTGAAAAGCTGCAAAGTGTTTCCGCTATTTGCCCCAGATTTTAGACCTATATGAAGTACAGGAAAATAATTCGAGTGAATTATTGGGCGCAATTAGACGAAGCAAAATATAAATTAAGCCAAGCCGATCAACGTTGCAAAATTGAAATATCATCCAATTTTGTTCGCATCTCGTGATAATTTCCTCGTCGGCATTGAACATTGAAATCATACTTGGAAATTCATTTTTAAAAAATTCAGAAATCTGACTGAAAATCCGCGTTGTCATTTTCTCTCTCAATTCCTGCTCCTTCGTGGCGAGATAAATTTGCATGAACAAGTTTTGCAAATATTGAGCCTCATCACGCCGTGACTCGGCGGCTTCTCATTCCCTTTGTCATGTTCTTTTTTTTCTTACCTTCTCAATATTTTTTTTGTACGTGTGTGTGGTGCATTGAAAGCCACCAATAAACCCCAAGTCACCCGTAAAATATTATCCTCGACATCCGACGGCGGACGCGACAGGAAAATATGCTCTGTCGAGTTTCTCCTGACGACAACCAACGAGTAGCATAACAAGAAGAAGAAAAAAACATGAGAATAAGGGAAATGAGGGAAATTCCGAATGGAATGACATCAATACATTCACGCCCAAGTGCCCGAGCATAATGGCGGCGAATCGCTTGGACGATTAGATCACCATAATTCTGAGGAAACATGACTCCAGGCAGTTCGACTGCAGAATTTGTCCAGCAGGAGAGTATGTTTACTTGTGACTTACTTTTTTCTTACAAATCGCGGTTAAAGCGATTCGGTTAATGGGCTGCATTATTATAAACAGTATACATTATACAGGGAATTTTGAGACATTGCTTGACCAAAAAATTTGCAAATGTTGGCTCACTGAGTTGTACTTCAGGGGCTTAGAAAAAATTGAGTTATTGAGTTATAGAGTATGCTTACTTGTGACTTATCGTAATTTTTTTTACAAATCGCGGTTAAAGAAATTTGGTTAATGGGCTGCATTATTATAAACAGTATACATTATACAGGGAATTTTGAGACATGCCTGACCACAAAATTTGCAAATGTAGGCTCACTGAGTTGTACTTCAGAGGCTTAGAAAAAAATGAGTTATTGAGGGTTAAATGAAACAAGCATTGTTGCCTGGGGAAAGCAGGAATAAATACAGGACTTTGTAATTGGAGATATTCTGGCCCTTGATTTGATTCTAAAATGACTTGAATTGATGCTAAACTTGTAAACAAGACTTCACTGTTCATCAATTAAACA